TTAAAATTGTAATATTTAAAGAATATATGAAATGTTTGTACTTCATATGTTATTTCCATAAGTTTATTTATAACCCTCTAAACTAGCACTATATTTATATATCAGTAGAATAACATAGATGTTGAAATGTTATCTCAAAGTAGTTTATTATGTAATAATATATGTTATGTAAATATTATGTAACATGATAACGTACAATTGAAAATTGCATACATGTGCGCTTCGCGTTTCGGTATTTTTGGCATAGTAGGAAGAACAAAACAAAAACAATATCTTTGTCCTCCTTTACTTACTACCGGAAGCTAGCCGAAGCGTGGAGTGCACATGTATGCGATATTTAATTATGTGCGTTATTCATTCTATTACAGTTTCTGCAGGCCGCATTTCCTTTCTGGCATTCTTGTTATAAGTCGGTATTCATAGTAAGGTCTCTGAGGGTAATATGGCTAGGTTTTTAATATGGCCAATTAGCTGTAAAAGACGTAATTTGTACGGAAAATTTCAAATTAGACTAGTATGTCCTTCTTTACATGTTATTAGACATAATTGCCGTTCTGAAATATCGCTCTCATTCTATGGAATTTATGTGTTTCACGACAGACGCTTCATATTGCGCTCCGGTAAGATTGTTATTATTAGATTTGGTTTCCGGGTTTGAGCCGCGTGGATTCATTTTTGTTTGATTCTGACGTTTCGCGAACATTCAGTTCGCTTCATCAAGGACCCGATGCCATTCCGGTAAACCCGGAAACCAAATCTAATATGCATGGACACCGCGAAAGCCTAAAAAATCAAGATTGTTATTCTCATGTTTATTAACTTATAATATTAGTTGAATAATTGCTTAATATATAGTTCTCTATGCTAATTCTAATAACGATATCGAAATTTAGTTTACTAGTAATGTTTAACTAGCAATGTAATATTAAGAACATTTTTATGAAATGACACGTGTTGATAATATAATCACTCTTGGCCATATTACCAACCTATAGTGCCATAATCTGTAATGATATACAGGGTGAATATTATATACCGGAATACCTGAATATCTCGAAAACAAAGCGTTGTATAAAAAAATGTTAAATACAAAAGTTGTAGGGTTTAAAAAGATCTATTTTATGATATTAGCAGTTTGACCTTGAGTTGCGTCATAAAGATCAGGTCAAGGTCACAATGATATTTTTAAATGGATACCCCCATTTTTTATTGTATATTCTTGTAGCTTATCTCGAGAGCTTTCCAAAACACTATACTTAAGTATTTTTTCGTTAAGTACTTTTCGAGTTAAGAGGCTTCAAAGTTACGCTCTTTAGCATTAGCGCGCGTGGATACCGTAGTGACGAGCACGAACGCGCGCTCGTATTAATAGTAAATAGCGTAAGGCTGATGGCCTAAAAAACGTAAACGCAAGGGCAGCTCTCGTTTACCGCGCTTGTGTTTACGTTTTTCTCTGCCTTAGCTTACCTTAATCGGCCGGATATGATTTTCCTCTTGCCTTAATCGGCCGCGCGCTAATGCTAAAGAGCGTAACTTTGAAGCCTCTTAACTCGAAAAGTACTTAACGAAAAAATACTTAAGTATAGTGTTTTGGAAAGCTCTCGAGATAAGCTACAAGAATATACAATAAAAAATGGGGGTATCCATTTAAAAACATCATTGTGACCTTGACCTGTTTTTTATGACGCAACTCAAGGTCAAACTGCTAATATCATAAAATAGATCTTTTTAAACCCTACAACTTTTGTATTTAACATTTTTTTATACAACGCTTTGTTTTCGAGATATTCAGGTGTTCCGGTATATAATATTCACCCTGTATATGATTGAGCATTATCAAAATATTTTTACTTTTCTATTTTTAGATATGAATCTTGATCCTTCATGAAAGAAACGTGGTAAATGGATACAAGAAAATTTATCCAAGGAAAACCTGTCTTATACAGTATTTTTTGTAACGTATTTTTTTAAATAAATATTACTTCTTTTGTTATAAACTTTTATTACTTCCATTACAAATTGCATTAATTATGATTAATGGTTAAAAAATTAATTGATTAATAGTTGAAAAATTCAATTTTAAAGAGATGAGAAAAAGTGGACATATTACCTTCATATGCTTTTAATATAGCCAAAATGCTGATTTTTAAAAATGAGTTATTTTCTTATGGTTTGAATTGGTTCATTTGAAAGAGCTTAAAAATGAGCTCATTTTTAACACTAAATTATTCATTTGAAAGAGCTTACAAGGAGCTTTTTATTCTGAATTCTTTAAAAACTTTTTTTAACAACTCAGGGACTTTACGTTTACAATAGACATATAGTGGCAATGATGCTATATGGAAAACACGGCCGCACCAAAAAATAAATGGTGTGGATATGTACATAAAGAGGAACGACGTCTATGTGGGGAGCGTCCCGATTGCCTACAGTACGATTGCACACAAACCAATCGATGATAAGAATTATCTAGTGAATTACCAGATCGAACCAATCATTACAATTTGTGGTCAATCGTACTGTGGGCAATCGGGACCTTCCCGTCTATGTGCAACATGTTTAAGTGCTGAACGCATATGTATATAGCTTCTCTTTGTGAGCATATCCCTACTTTTCAATTATACTTAGACGGTCGTGACAGCTGATAGCGAATTCGGTAGCTTGCACTAGTGCGCACTGAGTGCGCATTAAGGCTTGTTTACAGTACATTCTTATATTTAAGATCGTGTCTTAAATACATATTTAAGAACATTTTAGCTAATAAAATGATTCGTACGGATGTTATACATATCATATTATGGTTAAAAATATTTGAGAATTTATTTGAGAATTATTTAAGACAATCTTTAAATATAATAACATACTATGAACAAGCCTTAGTGCGCACTCAGTGCGCACTAGTGCAAGCAACCGAATTCGCTATGAGATAGCTGAAAAGTGATTGTTATTTCAGGAATCATTTTGCGATTCTACGTAACATATTGGCCAAATATTTTAGTTTTCAACATTTTATAGGTTTCAGAATTACGAAATCATATATTACATTACAGGTTATGGCACTATAGGTAATATGGTAATATGGCCAAGACTAGCCATATTAGTAACACGTGTCATTTCATAAAATCTTACCGAAGCGCAATAAGAAGCGTTTGTCGTCAAACACATAAACTCTTCTCATAGAATGAGAACTGCATGCTATATTTTATTAAGGACGACAATTGTGTCGTGTTTTAATAACATATACAGGTGTTTTAATAACATATAAAGAAAAATATGCTAATTTAATTTAAATTTTTCGTGCAAATTACGTCGTTTACAGCTAAGCCATTTAAAAACCTGGCTATATTACTTTCAGGGACCTTACATATATTATACAAAAGAGTGTCGTTAAAATAATCGTTTTATATAAAATCGCAATGTCGTCATCTTAACCAAATCATATATATTTGCGTACATAATTTTATACTGTCGTCGAAATAGCCCATCTATAGTTGATTGCTTATATATATTCACCAGTGTGTTGTACATTAAAAATGTAGGTAATGTATACATCAGAAGGTTAATGTACTCTAATGTATGCAATAATATACAGTAATTTCTTGGTGTCGTCGAATTAGCCTATCTATAGATAATTGCTTATACATACTTACTAATGTATTATATTTCAAAAATATTGGTATTGTATACATCAGAAACTTAATGTACTCTAATGTATACAATAAAATATAATAGTTTCTTTGTGTCGTCGAAATAGCCGATTAGCATATATATATATACAGGGTGTTCGGAAATTACCGGGACGCCCGAATATCAGGAAAAATATAAGTTTTACAAAAAAATGTTTCAGACAAAAGTTGTGGCGTTTAAAAAGATGTATTTACTGATCACATCAGTTTGACCTTGGGTTGCGTAGCGAAGGTCAGGTCAAGGTCACATTAATTTTTTTAAATG